TATATATATATACATACATACACACACACACACACATATATATATATATATGTGTGTATATATATATATACAACTACGAATGAAACGCACTTACGAATTTGGACCTCGGTGTGGGTTTCCCCATGTGCAGCCCAAGCGTGACTGAAACAAGACAAGGAAATAGACACTGTACAATATTTTTCTGGCCATGATATTTCTTTATAATCACCACTTGCGCACAAGCTAGCCTTTGGTCATTCATCAATCTTCTTGTATCTCTCACCACCTGTGAATATACCCTCGGACTGATAATATGCTAGATAAATTCACTTAGTAGTCACATGTGTGTTAAAGGCATAGTGCCAGCCCCGATTGGGTCGGTTTGATGATAGTGACTTTGAAGCTGAAGTCTCTGGACATTGGGGTCACCACTGCCATCGCCCGGCAGATACATACTGATCATATCACGGAGATCAGAAGTACATCCCGGTCTTCTTCCTGTCACTGCAGCTACGGCTGCTGCTGTCATGGCACACGGCGGGGTCTGGACGCCAGGACTGTGACTGGGTTCCGATTTGATGGGACACGGGGCAGGCATGGGACTCGTGGTTTGCATGGGTGAATAGGACATGGGCATAGAATAGTTGGAGCTACCGTTCATGTAAGGCATGCTTATGTTAGAGCACGTGGTCATTGGCGTGGACAGTTGGGCCATTTCATATCGTGAATAAAGGGCATTGTTAGCAACCATCTGAGACCCGTACGAAGCTGCCGCCGCCGCCGCCGCATGTTGCTGGTATGCTTCCTGCATCATAGTGGGATAACCGTTAGGCATATAGCCGTTCATTTGGTACATTTCACGGCTGACCTGCTGAACGGCAGAAGTGGGAGCCCGGCCATCGGTTGAGAGCAGCCCTGTAGCCATTGGGTACTTATCCTTCTTCATGAGGGTTTTGGTTTTCCGTCGAGGGCGGTATTTATAATCTGGGTGTTCTTTCATATGCACTGCTCGTAGTCGTTTGGCTTCATCAATAAAAGGTCGTTTTTCAGCCTCCGAAAGTAATTTCCACTCAGCTCCCAACCGCTTGCTGATCTCGGAGTTGTGCATCTTGGGGTTTTCTTGGGCCATCTTTCTTCTCTGACCCCTAGACCACACCATGAAGGCGTTCATCGGTCGTTTCACTCTATCTGCGTCCTTCTTGTTTTTGTTGCTACTGCCTCCACAGTCGTTACCACTTTGTGTGTAACTAAGCGAGGAGGGTGAGGAATTGGGCGAAGGACTAGTAACCATAGGTAGAGAAGTGTGACTATGGATTGTCGGAAGACCACCGGTCATTTTCAGTTCGTGCTCGATTCCGTGATGCTGGCCTGCACCTACAGCCGAGCTGACCACCCCAAATGGGTGGTAGATTGAGTAATCTCGGTCCAGCGTGGCCACGGTTGCAGCTAGAATAAAACTACACAACAGGAAGAGACGGACGTCCTAACAGAAAACGAAATACTCAGGTAGGCTCAACGCCAACTCATGTTGTTCCACGCTAACTAGCCCAGTTTTTTTTTCCTACTTACGAACGTTAATTCTGCAAGTGCCCTCTCGCGGCAATGGCGAGATAGTACATCTGAGGATAGAGTTCTTAGTTTAAACGCAGTTAGCTTTGTGAACACGAAAAGCCTTCCAACTTAAACGTCCAGCACGTTCAAGTACTTCTTTTTCTCTGGCCAAATCAACCACAAGTCCACGCTGTATTGATTGACAGTGGCCCTACTTGCACATGGCATCCAGCCAATCAGCAACTTGTCGAACAACTCTAGGTCGTTTTTGTCCATTTGTTGGAAGCTCGCATGACGTATGCTTTGTCTATGACGTTACACGAGAGGCGTGGTTTATAGAGGCCTACGAACAATATACGTACGAGTTTACCTGGGTAAATAACAACTTAAACGAAAACACATTTTTTTAAAAATGAAAAGCCTGTAGTTTCTCGAAAAATCCGATGTTTAGTAACATTTTACAATGATTATAACTGGCAACTTAAAGAATTACTCATTGGAATGGAGGTCATTCTTCTCAACTGCATTTAAACTAAACGTTAACAGTGCTTATTACAATTATTTTAAGTTTTCATTTAACTCAAATACTAAAGATTACCTGGCAGAGTATGCGAACAATTCAGCCCGTTACCATTTACTTATAGTCTGTAACTTATGTCTGGTATATTATACGTTTAATTCTGACATTTATGAACAATTATTTGCAACAAGTATATGCTACATTAGTATTACCTCAAGTGGTGTATGTCGTATATAGAATAGCTATCTCGTACACCGTTCAGAAAGTGGAAAATTAATCAATTGTGCACTGGTGCTGCAATCTAGTGGCAGCTTCTGACAATACTATTTTAGTGGGGAAGAGAGGCAGAACACAACATAAATTTTACACCAGTAGCTAGGATGAAAAATATAATAAAATACGCAACTAATTATGTTTAATAAGCTAAATTCAAAGCGCATTAATTTCAATCTCCATGTGATACTTCTATCATAAAACAGAACTCATTTTAATTCAAATAATTATTTTCCTGTGCTATCACACTTAAGTCTACCTTCTATTGTTTGATTTTTTGCTTATTTTAATCTGTACCAATTGTTTCAGTTTATGCATTGAAAGTATATGGGTATTTTAAAACAAACCTAATAAAGTTTTTTTTCTAATCACAATAAATCATCTATTTCACTGTGGAATAAACTCAATTGCTTAATTTTCTTTAAAGTAACCAATGTAAGCTGATAGCTGATAAATATCTAAAAAGAAGATGTTGAAATAACTGAAATGGTTTCTCAAAACTTTATCCTCAACAGCTTCTCTGGAATTAATGTTAGGACGAATCAAAATATAATCTGACACCACATTGAATAATAGGTAAATGCCAGTTTATAAGTAGTTAACATTGATTCTTCGTCACGTTTTATTGTGAAATCTTGACCTTAATAAAAACTTTATTAAACCATCATTTGTTTATTTATATCACACTTTTATTGATGTAAACTTAAGAGTACCCATTCATAACGACTCAACATCATTCATATCTCTCTCTCATTTTTTTCTTTTTTTAAGTATGTGCTATAAGGACTTTTCTTAGAATTAGAGGACGATATATTGGTTCGAACCTAAATACTTGTTTACATTAGCCCCTTTCCTCTTCTAAACTGCTAAGTAGTTCAGCTCATTTGAATCGGAAACATAAGATAGTTTTGTTTCTTGAGTCTTGCGGTTAGCGTACCGGACTGAGCAGAAGATTCATAGATCGAACCCTCGATTTGCTGCTGAACACGATATAAAAGTAAGAGTCAATTCTATTTAGCTAAGAGTAGATATGTAGACGGGGGGTTCTGCTAAATGTTTGCCCTCCTTTTCATCAGTAGTTATAAACGACTATGACAAACTTTCTGGTCTCTGACCTGGCTGCTTAGCCCATGTGTTATATAAAATGCCGTTCGAGTACCAAATACTATTCCTTCTGTCAACCCTCGAATGTATATAATTATTAAAGTTTTACAGTCGTTGTTTTTTGGTAGATTTCATAGTTTTTGGTTTGTTTATTTGCTGTTAAGCGCAAAGTTACACAATGGGCTATCTGAGATCTGCCCACTGCAGGCATCGAAACCATATTTTTAGCGTTATACGTCCTCAGCCATCAAGCCATCAAGAAGTCAAAGTTTTGGAGTATCAAAAATAATTTCCAAAACTAAAATGTAACTTGCCATCGTTGATCAAACCCGGATCTTCACTATCAACAATTGAACGAAATTAAACCAAAACTTATTGAATCGCTACATCCCAGTCTGTAGTTTGTTCAAGGTTAGCAAATAGTTGAACTCCTTGTATTTTCTCCAGAGATTTTCAAACGTTACTGTGAAATTTCACATACAGCAGCCTTTGTAGATTTTAAACAAAGGCACATTTTTAGTTAAAATTATAAAAATTTCCTATTATTTTTCCATGAAAAACTACAAGTAAACCAGTTTTGCACATTCAGTCATTTCAATATATATAATGGAATGCAAAATCAATTTTCATATATATTTTTTTATCTCTCCCTAGTTTCTTTTTTTTTTCTTCATTTACTGTATATATGTGTACTATCAGCTTTTTCTGGACACTCAATCATTGGTTTGATAAGATATTCTAGAACAGGGAATCATCGTCATGCTTCAATAAACCGTAAGATCTTTAAAGCAAGTTGAAAATTTGAACACAACTGAAATCTCTATCAGGACTTTTGTGCTTCTATTGTATTGATGGAGTTATTGATTCATGAATCAACTAAAACAGCAGAAAGGACAAACTTTTTCAGTTAACACGTTACTGCTTAAATTACGTGATTTGTTGAGTTTGTTTACTTGTTTTTGTTAAATACACAAGAGACTATTTATGCCGCACCCACCACGAGTACCTAACACTATTTTTAGCGTTATAACCTTTCAGAGGTGCCGCTGAGCCACCGGGAATAAATTTTATTGAATTTATATCTTTAATATAGCGAAAAAAAATATCCTTTAAAATTTTAAATCGAATCTTTATATACTTATTAGAATGTTTTCTCTAAAGATCTTATTCATCCTAAGAGCTACACAATGGACTATCTGTGCTCTGCCCACCACGGGTATCGAAACCTGGTTTCTAGCGTTGTAAGCTCACAGACATACCGCTGTGCCACTGGGGGGCTCAAAAATAAATATACCATAAAATTAGAAAATAATGGGACAACGTACTGTTTTTTTTTTCCCCCTCTGGAGTGAACTTTATAGCCTAGAAAATATAATTTTTTATATGTTTTATAGGATATCATCCAATTTAAATAACCATATAGAGTGCTTAATTACAAACAGAACATTTATTTTTGAAAAAGCAAATTATCACTGGTTAAAGTATGATAAAAAGACGTATTTAATGTAAATGATTAAGTAGATTAAAACTATGGTAGTTATTAATTACAACTCAAACTAGTAAATAAAAATGGAAGTAAATTTAAAGAAAGGAAATTAAGATGATGGAGATAAAGAGGTAAGATAAAAGTAGAAATGAGAGAAAATTTTAATTGAAATATAAAACCTAAAGATGGGAGAGATTTGAGGATTAAGCCTAATTTTTGTCTTAAGCCTTCGCAAAACTATAAACTTATCGGATGGTTGCTGATAATTTGAGAGATTTTCTCGTTAGTTACTAACGTCTAGACTAGTTAGTTCTAAATCTATTAGAATCGCATCTTATATGATGGTCTTTTTCTTCTTTTTTTTTCGCTTAGTTTTGCGTACGTTATAGGTGATAAAATGATGCCTGGAAATAAGAAGTAAATAGTGTATTTGATACGTGAGAGATGAGATCAGTAACTGCGATAAATACAGACCATTCGCTTAAAAATAAAATATGCAGATGGTTAGTTCAAACTAAATAATACAATGTTTCAGTAAAACTGGGAGAATATTACAAATACTGTCAGTCTGTAATGAAATCACTTTATAAAGGACTAGTGGCAAGACAGAAAAGTATAACATAAGAGTAAGCTATATCGTCATTAGAAACGAAGAGAAATTGAATCTTTTCTTTGATGTTACTCTTTAGTTCTTAATAAGAAGTCTTCGGATGTTGAATTTACAATACAACTGCTCGAGTAGAATTAATTATATATATATATATAGCCTTTCAATAAAGCATAATATAAAACGAAAAACTATCATAAAAGCGTATCTGTTCTATTATATTTTGGAAAAGTTCTAAAATTGAAAAAATACATTTATCAGCATGTTTCAAAAACTTTTAACTTCTGTCGTTTATGTTACAGTAAGTAATCTTGTTTTTTTTTACTAGGAATTCCTCTATACACACTCATTTGTAGAAACTGTTTATTTACTTGTAAAACTAGGCAGCTTCAGTGTGCACACAAATTGTGAAAAATCAATTATTTGAAACATTTTATTTAGTGTGAGTTGTCTTTCATACTTTTTTTTTGTACCGACACTAGAGTAAAAATGTAGAAAAAACCACATGAACCTGCTTGTGGTGTTTCTGACAATGCAAGTTGCTAAAAGTAGTGTAAACGTTCTTATACAATGGCTGGTTTTTAAAAAATGAATACCATCCAAGCTCTGTCTGAACACTAGTTGCTGCATTTCATTGTGATAGAAAAGGGGTCTTATACGATTTTATTACGAGGGTGAAGTCAGTCTTCGGTTTATTAGTTTTTATTTATGTATTTATTTTTGTCGAAATGGAAGTGTAAGTCTTTAATTTCTTTAATTTTTTGTGTTTCATAGCTTTTATGTTTTATATCAAGAGGGAAATGCATGATTTTTAGGATATACTAGGTGAGGATAGCCGCTAAAGAAGTAAAAGTTGTATAAAAGACAATTAAATAATGTTACCCTTCCTTCTTCCTTTTGTTATTAAGTCCTTAGTGACGTCATTAGATGCTAATTGCATACCCTGCTTTCTAGAAGGTAATAATTGGCTCAATTAACTGATTAAGTACTTGTGTTTCTAAATTCAGAGCCATAAGTTTATATAAAAAAAAGTGGAAATGTGCTCTATTTCAGAGTTGTTGTTTTTTCTCTTCTCGGGCAAAAATCCTAAACCAAAATAGCCTATGTGCACAATCGGATAGTTTCCAGCTACCGTACAAAACTTAACAGTACTCGAGTCAGCCAACTCTGGGTGGTTGATGTTAACACATAATGGATCATATTTATAGTAAGATATGTGTGGTTGATGTTAACACATAATGGATCATATTTATAGTAAGATA